CTCAAATTAAACAATTAGAGCTATTTGATTACTGTATGTCACAAAGTTTTCTACAATATCCTCTCACACAAGTAAAACTAATGAACATGACGTGTTGGATTTACGTATTATGAATTAAGTACAAATATTAATTAAGAATTTTGTGTTGGATTTACGTATTATGAATTTAGAGTTTGGTTAAATTTTTTTAATTAATTAAGTAATTGGAAGCAATTTGGAGAATCGAACTCATGCCTTCTTGACCAAAACTAATGTAATAACCAATTAAAATGATGAACTTTCTTGTAAATTGATGTAGGCCAATTATTTTTATTGCTTTACAGATGATGCCTAAATTATAGGACAAAGCCATCATCTTTGGACTTTGGTTTGTAAACAAGTATTGTTTCGATTCTTCTCCCTTTCTCCGTTTCCCTGTATCAATTTCTTTGGACTTCCTTCATTTATTGCAGAGGAAGAAAGGGAATGAATCTGCTCAACTTCCTTCTTTTATTGCAGAGGAAGAAAGGGAATGAATTTGCATAGAAGACAGAGAGCGCTCTGTTGCTTATAGATTTTTGTTAGGAATAAATACTCAACGCAATATGAATTTAACATAAAATGTAATCAGCCTAACTGGCCTTGACTTTATTTTGTGAACAATAGATCCATGGTTCGAGCACATCCATGACCTTTTCCTTAAGAATTTTTAATTAACGAAACTTTTTTGACAAGCAAAATTTGCCAATAATGTTCTAATTTCAACTCTTAAAACGAAGAATTTGTTCATATGTAACGAAACGACAAGCAAAATTTGCCAATAATGTTCTATATGTGACATTGTTTGCATATTATTGACGACATATAAATTCTTCATAAAAAGTGTTTTCCTCACGAAGTTTTTTCAACGAAATAATCATTTGTGATGACCATTTTGTCCAGTAACTTTTCTAGCAAACTTTTATCAACCACTAAATACGCTCCCTCATAAAAAGGTTTGTTTTTTCTGAGAGATAGGGAAATTCCTAACAAATAATACTATTTCCAACAGCATTTTCTGAGGAAAATTTTGTGTATTCAAAAAATAAAATTCAGGAATTTTCCCCTTCTTTTTGGCGTCAGAAAAACATATTATTTCTGACGCCTATTTCAATTTGGTCATAAATAATTTGTATTTGTGACAAAAGTTGAAATGTCCTCAGTAAAAGTGAGATGGTGTTCCTCGTGTTTGCAAAATTGACTTTTAGTGACAAAATTTTTGGACATTATTGACGAGTATTGATGTTCGTGACAAATATTTTACATTTTTATGAGGACAATAAATTTTTGCCACAAAAAAGGTTATTTCCAACCAAAAAACAGTGTCGTCAGAAGGATTTCGTCACTTCTGCCAGTCTTTTTTGTAGTGGATCATCTAGATGCGGAGCATCGTCTATTGAGATATTTGAAACAAATGAAAGATGTTGACATCTTCTTTCCAGCATATGGTGTAGAGCTTCCGACCCCCCTTAATTTCATTGACCCTCCACACGAGTTGAGAAAAAGGAGTTAAAAGAAGTACTCTGGCGAGTGCCAGATGTACAGAAATTGCTCTTGCTCGACTAATAAGGGTCGACCGTACAAAAGACTGCAGTTGGAACCCCCGTCAAGTGAAGGAAAAAAAAGAAAGAAAAAAGAAATGTAAATGAAAGTGAAAAGGGGTTCCAAAGGTGAAATGAAGTGAAAGAGCACCCCGGTACAATGAGTCTTTGGTTGTGAATGGTGTGTGTCCCTTTACCCATGAACTAGTTGTCTTACTTCCACTTCTTCTCATGAACCTAGCTTGAGTCTAGTACTCGCATTGAGAGAGATAGGGGACGTCTTAGAAAACCAGTTGACCTCGTAAGCTGCTATATGATCTAGGAAATCCTCTACCGACGATCAGAGTTGTTTGTTGCTATAGAGGTCTGGAGAGCTGCATTGGTTTGAGTTAGGTTCGCTTGGGGACAAGCAAACGGTTAAGTGTGGGGGAATTTGATAGACCAATAATTACACATGTTTTTACCTCAATTCTTGAGCCGTTTGAGAGTCGATTCTCGTGTTTTAAGCCGATTTCACGCTAGGTTGTGTGTTTATGTCATATTTCAGGACTTGGTGTTGACGTGAAGGCGAGGAAACGAGTTTCGGGTCGAAAAGGAAGACATGGGAGTGAAGGGCGTTGGAAGAGCAAAATACCTGGCCAGGAGTTAAAATACCCGGCCGGGTAAAATGCTAAGGAGGCCGGGGATTCGTGCTTTTGGACGCCAAGAAGGCAGAAGGGGTCCCGGCCAGTGAGCAAAAATACCCGATCGGGTATTCTGGACCTCGATCGGGTATTAAGCCCTTCACTGTTGCGCTGCGTTTCAAAATCCCTGGCCGGGTACCTGAAATACCCGACCGGGGATTACGACCGGGGATCGCGGCCTGCTGGTTTTTAAGGGAAAGAAGGCTGATTTTTTAGGGTTTCGAGTTTTAGCGAGACAAAGTGTATACCTAGAGAGAGAAAGTGACGAACCTGATTCTTCAAGCGCCTTAGATCGATCTTCATCACCATTGGAGCCTGGCTTGAGCTTGGAGAAGTGCTGATTGATTGCCAGAAGCAGAATCCCATCCTTCACAATATGGTTTCCGCCTGAGCTAGATTTTCTGTCTCTCTCTATGGAGTAACTTTCTCATTCACCTGGGTATGAAGAACCCTAGATTTGTATGTTAGGTCTGATTGTATGAACCCAAGTACGAATTCAGTGATATGATTATATTCAATTGAGGTTTGATTTCTTGAATGGCATGAATCCTGATCAAATTCCTGCTATTTTTGCTTTGACCTAGAAAGAGAATATCTGCCTAGGTTGATAGAGCACCCTTGATTGAAGGTAGTTGACGACTTTAGTCGAGGAGTCAATTCACTATTCTGTACCGGATTTACTTCGACAGAGGAGGTTTGGTTCGTTAGGGCCTCAATCTGTTTACTTCGGTGGAGGTTAGTCGCCCGCTGGGGACTCAGATTGAGAGGGTCTGGAGACTTTTAGTCGAGACTGTAGACTGTTGAGAACCTCCCGCAGTATAACTATCATTGAACTTGAACTTGGTAAATCACAACCTAGCTTAACTGCAGTCTAGGGGGAACCATATCCGGGTGACCTCTCTCAACTTGAACACAACTGTCACTGCTTTGCTTGCTAGTTTAATTGAACCTTCACTACACTTGAACCGCTAGATAACAAGACTTTCACGGAGTAGTCATCACACCTAGGACCCGGGTTGACAATTAGAACTAAACCCGCTATACTACGCATTAGTAGGTGGTTACACTTGGCCACTTTCTAGTGTGACGGTAGAAGCGTGTCAATATGCTATAAGCATTGGCGCTTTAATGTACAATTTAAAGTTGTATCATAACGTTAAATGTATAAGTTCAAGTTGTACCATAAAGAAATTTGTATACTTATGTTATGATACAACTTTACAACTTAAAGTTGTACCATAAAGAAATTTGTATACTTATGTTATGATACAACTTTACAACTTAAAGTTGTACCATCACATAAAGGTATAATTTCAAGTTGTACCATAAAAGAATTTGTACAAAAGAGTATAGGTACAATATGAAGTTGTACCATAACGTTAAATGTACAACTTCAAGTTGTACCATAAAAGCAAAAACTTATAGCACCAATGCTATATAGCATTGTCAAATTCCTCAAAATAAAATGGTTATGGAATATAATTAGAATTATTATTAATAAACTTAAATTACAAAAGAGTCTCCATCCTTTATCATTACTTGTGTCTATGTAATTGTATTATATTATATTTTTCTTGATTTCGCTAAAGTATTTTGAATAATTTGATACTATTTACAGGTGGCGTCTTCGGTGCACTCACTTTTTTGGGTGCATTCAGTGCACTCGGTCGCTACTATACTACCTCTCTTAACAAGGTTATACTTGACCTAATCAGGGTAGTAGAATATAGTGCATAGAGTTTATTAATCTTATGTGCATCATTAGGATCACACTAGTCTAATTGTTTTAGAAACTTGTATTGATTTTTCGGTTCAACTACATGTATTGAATGATTTTTTTTTTCAGTTTTGGACTATATAAATATTCGAAATTGATAAGTCCATGAGTGATTGTATAGTAGAATATACTGAATTTTTTTTTTTGTTGAACACTGTAGGTACTACATACATTTTATAATATTTTTAGGGATGAAAACACGTCGTGGATTTTATTATAACTTTTTCTAATTTGATATTTATTTTCATCAGGGTCATATATGTATATTTTGGTTAATGCTACTTAAGAGATTCGAACTTCAAACTTTGGATTGGAGATACTTGAGGCCATATGATGTGCACCCCATGGTTGTTCTGAAACATGGTGCAATGTTGGGGTGTATGTCATTGTGATAAACATGCAACGGTCCATAAGGCCGTTGTTTTAATAAGCGAAATTTACATACGAGTACAGCTGGATCGTTGTAAGAGACAACCTCTGGCCATATTGTTAGAGATGTTTCAGGTTAAAGTAACCTTATTGGTATGTGAGATGGGGCAAATGAAATATCAGGAGAGTTTGCAATGCCAGAAATTTGGCCATCAACATGAAATAGATGAAGCAGAGAACCAAGGAAGTTGGACCACACTGAATTAAGTCAGGGACTCGAGTAAAGATAAGATTTATCCTTTGATTTTCACCCCCAATTACGACCAAGTCAATTCTGGGTAAAAGTTAGCTAGGGTGGATAGTAAATAATATAAACAAAACGGAATCTTTCCCACAAAAATTAATCCCACAAAAAAAAGCGAGAACGAAAGAAATGGAGGTAGCTAGGTATCAACTATACCCTCGCATAACCTGCCAAGTGTTGGTTGAAATTCCTGAGGTAGCAACCACGTGTCAGATCTCTCGCTTACCAGAATCCACGTAGCAAAAGCTCCTCCTGCATGTCCCATGCATCATCACAATCTAATATTTAAACATAACCCCGATCCATTTATTGCCTCTTTGTTCAAAACGTAACTTTGAGAATAGAGAGAAATCAAGAAAAGAAAATGAGCCAGCAGCAGCAGCAGCAGGCGATAAGGTACGGGGATCTGTTCGAGGTGCAAGGGGAGCTGGCGGAGAAGGCGGTGGCCCCGAGGGACGCCGCCATGATGCAGACGGCGGAGAACACCCTGACGGGACACACCCAGAAGGGAGGCGCCGCTGCCGTCATGCAATCCGCCGCGGCCAAGAACGAGAGGGCTGGCTTCGTCTGCCACGGGGACGCCAGCGAAGTCGCTGACGACCTCGGGGTTAGCGCCACCGAGACCGATTTCCCAGCCGGGAGGACCGTCATCACCGAGTCCGTCGGCGGCCAGGTATCGCCTAACAATGCCTTTTTTTTTGTTCTTACCACATCTAGCTAGTAACGTGACAAATCAATTTTCGTTTTGGGAAGCGAGAATAATCAAATCGGTATTATCTTCCAACAATTATATGGTGCTTGTATTGAAAAAGCCCCAATCTGTCAAAATCCTTTTGAAAATTAGCCAAAATGGTATTATTTGGAAGTTGGGAACATTTGTCTTTTACGTTAAAATTCAGCTAAAAATAGGGTTTATTTCTCCTTTGTTTAATCGTGACAAGTCATTGATGTGCGCGTCATAGCGTGCTCAACCAAGAACTAGGGGGCCGTCCCGGGCCACGGCTCAGCCCGCCCTCTGGATTCGAAGCTAGTATAGCCCTTGTAAATGTTCGAGATTAGGTACTCGTTTTCAGTGCTGGTCGGGTTACGACCCAAGGCAGTCCTCTCCACCTTGTTTCCGATCAGTGGCGGATTCATGGACATTTAGGGGTGTCCCGGGACACCCCTAAAATTTGGAAGAACGATTATCCAATCCCAGGCTGTAGTTTCTTATGAAAAAAAATTATAATTGGTAATCCGGGACACCCTTAAATTTGAAAAAAATGATTATACTACTCTCGGTAGTAGTTTATATAAGATTAAAAAATTATAAATGGTAGTTTGTCTTATTCAAACTTAAGACACTACTATTATTAAACATATTCTTTAAGTTGCAACTCATTTCTTGATCTATTTAAACACTAAAAAATAGTAAAAACATTATTGCTTATCCCCAACTATTTTCAAAACCTAACAACTAAACTAATTGTGGGTTATCCTTAATTTAATTGATTTTATAGTTACACAGCAAGAGTTAAAAGAGTCTTTCAACTTTGAGTTACATAAAGAACAAGGTTAGAATTCGAATATGAGATCAGTTCGTATAGTATTGTCTAGTATGATATATAGATTTGTTGAGCAGTGAAGACGTCGAGTATATTTTATATTCTTTTTCAGAATATGAAAACACGTCGTGGCCTTTTGTTTTGTTAAAATTTGTACTAGTCATGTATTTTCTTATTTATGAATTTTTTTTTTTTTTAAAGAGGACACCCCTATAAAAAAATTCCTGGATCCGCCACTGCTTCCGATCCGAGCAGATATCGATTTGGGTTCCTAAAAGTAAAATATATGGTTTTAAGATTTAATATAAAATTTCTCTTTACATATTATGGATTCCTGTGCCCAGGTCGTGGGGAAGTTTGACCAGGGCGGTTCGGCCGCGGCCACAGGGGTACCGGGCGGTGGCTGCGGAGGCGGCGTGACGATAGGGGAAGCGCTGGAAGCGGCGGTGCTGACGGCAGGGAAGAAGCCAGTAGAGCGGAGCGATGCGGCAGCAATACAGGCGGCAGAAGTGAGAGCCACCAGCCGGACCACCATCGTCCCCGGCGGTATTGCCGCGGCAGCTCAGTCGGCGGCCACCTTCAACGCCAGGACCACCAAGGACGAGGAGAAGACCACTCTCGCCGATGTCCTCTCGGTAAGAATTTAATTAATATGTTTTTTTTTCTTTGTTGTTTCTTTCCCAACATCCGTCTTAATAGCGAGGGTTGTGTTATATTGTTGTGTTGTGTTATGCAGAACGCGAAAGCAAAGCTGCCGGCGGACAGGCCGGCGACTAGGAAGGACGCAGAAGGGGTGGCGGGGGCAGAGATGAGGAACGATCCGTTCCTCACCACACATCCGACAGGGGTGGCGGCTTCGGTCGCGGCGGCTGCTAGGCTGAACCAGCAAGCCCTTAACAACAACAACAACAACATCGACGACATTGTACAGTAATCGTTGTTGAGTTTTTTTAATGCAAACTCGTGAGTTTTGCTTTTTTTTTTTTTTTTAGCAAACGGAGGAGATGATGCCTCGTAGCTACAACAATGTTTGTTTTCCTATCAGTACATATGAAGAGTTGATTTCCTTAATTTGCCTTTTTCTTATGTCGAGCATGGTGTATTCAAACGGTTATAATAGTCAGCGGCCGATCATTATTACTGGACACGTCAAAAATAAATTAATAGATTAAAATTTTAGACGTAAATAATAATAATATTAATGAGAATATGAGATAATGAGCTGTGGATAGCAGTTGAATAAATAACCACAGTTGAATAAATAATTGATAACCGTCGTTGATATGTGGTTTTGGATGGATATTGACAAATGATTGTATGACTGAATTGTACGAACTGAAAATGGTGATTCGAATCTTGAGATGGATTCTAAATTGGATGATTGATTGTGAGAAATGTATTGTTGATACAAACATGGAATATGTATGGAGATGGATTCTAGATTGGATGATTGGATGATTGATTGTGAGAAATATATTGTTGATACAAACATGGAATATGTATGGACCGCGAGTCAATGAGACATGAGTAACATGAGATACATTTAAAGTGGGAATTCAATGGGAAGGAATTGATTGTTGAATTGGTTTGTGAAATGTTTGACATGAGATATGCATGGTCTGAGCATCACTTGCACTGCATCGATTTCGGATCGAATGTTGCATGGACTAGTTAATTAGTGGGATGACATTGATTCTGGATCGTTTGTGATGGACAAGAGAAATGAGAATTGTTTGATTTGTGATCGTCTTAACTCACATAGTCGGGAAAGTTAATCAACACATAAGAGTATCCAGATAACACATAAGAGTATTCATATTGAATACTATTTGATTGATTGTGGATATTAATTGGTATATGTCACATCCGCTCTTTCGTAAACTGTTTAATTATGTGTATGTTGTGAATAAGGATTTAAATGCGTGCCACTGTTGATTAACGAGTATTCAATTATGGTGATTGACTTATTTCGGAAATAATTATTAAGCTAAAATTATAAATAGTCGGCAACTCATTGTAATGAGTCAGGATCAAAATAGGAATTATATCGCAATGTTACCATCTCCCTAGCTCATACCAACCTACATTTGAATTTGGTTAAGTGTAGGGGTGTGGTAAATGGTCAAACCTATGTTGGTAGGGTAAACCGAATGGGTTCCTCGAGAGGGAAGGAAATGAAGTTATCACATGGAGCCTTTATAATTGCTTCTTAAACCTGCAGAACTCCACTTCCCAACCTAAACTAAAAACCCACCACGTAGCCACCATTTGTACAGACAATTAATGAACTAGGAGGTGGTGTATAGCTTTATAGTGGGAAGAAGTGAACCTCCTGCATTCTTATCCCATCCCCCTCCATTCCAAGTTTCAAGAGTGAAGGAGAGAGACAGAAAGACATGAACCCTTTTATCTTCTTCATCTTCGGTCCATCTACTGTCCTTTGTCCTTGAGATCATCGGTGGCAGAAAAGAGAGTACAAGCTTTTCCTATACCTCACCCTCTTCACCATATCCCCATATCACTCAAAACTTAAGCTGGAAGGGGCTCGATTAAGATTGGGGAACTGGAAGGATTGTTAACGTGTTAGCAGGTATTCTTTTAACTCTTTCTCCAAGGATAAAAGGGAGGCGATGCATGAGAAAAGTGGGGTTTGGTATGAGGCTGAATGATTCAAGTTCATTTATGTACAAACTTTAGGGGATACCTAAAACCCATTTGTTGCATGCTGGCGCTGGTAAGTCTATATATATATATATATACACGTTGAGTTCATGCATGTTATATGGGTGATGGAATTCCATTAAAAGAATCGTGGGGAGATGGGTGAGAATGAATTAGAAGGATTAGAAATAAGGACAGCTTAGATATGACTAATTTAAGTGGGTGGTTGAAGTCAAAAGGGAGTATTAAGTATTAGAAATGGTGAGATGGGAATTTGTTGCATCTGGAAACTGTATAACATATTGGATTTGGAAACTACTAATGATATAATAAAGAAAGGAAGGTGGGAAATGGGTATTACTGTGGGGGGTTTAATCCATGGTGATTCAACCCTTTAATTAATATATGTGAAAGAGTATGGGTAATGAGCAATTTAATTGTGTACCGTGAGTGATGGTGGCAATTAAAATGGTCTGGAGGGTACAAAATAATTTAATATAAGATATATATATATAACATGAAATAATTGGAAGAGAAATGAGACGGAGAAGTTTCTAATGCTTTTAATCATATGATTGGAAGTTAATAATTAAATTGGTTATAAGTTGCTATCCTATTAAATGCGTTTATATGATTGTGTCTAAAGGAATGGAGCAAGCTGGGGAATCATCAAGAGGCAAGGGTATAGCGGAATAGCAAGTGTGTTGTGAGTAAACTCTAACCTATTAACCGTATGGATACAAATATGGTATTCGGGTCATGAAGCGGCCTGAATATAGAATATGAAATGTGGGTTAAATAGATGGCTATGACTATATGTGTGTGAATGAAATGATATGTGATGAATGATGGGTGAATGTGATGTTCGTATGACTATTTGATGATATGTGTGATGTGTATGTGATATGAAATTGCCTAAAAGGGATATATTACAATACAGAGAAGACTATGAGGCAGTGATGGAATAATGAATGGCCTGAATGACTATACGAGGATATTGGGATAGCCTAATTGGCTATCGTGTGATTACTGGAAAGCCTATAAGGCGGAAATGTGAGATTGAAGCCTATAAGGTGACGATGTGATTATATGAATGGTGAATGTGACTATGTGAATGTTATGAATATGTGAATAGACACGTGTGAAATGATTGATGATACTGTTTGGTACTTGTTATGTGACTAACTAAAGAATTGCATGATCACCTAAATCAAACTTATTGGCGCCCCGTCATGCACTCTATGAGATATGATACTACGGCTTTATGCCTAGCTCTCTGGGAGAGCGATACCAGGCCTGGTCATTGGCGGTGCTTAATGCATCTATTGGCGGTGCTTAATGCATCTATTGGCGGTGCTTTATGCATCTATTGGCGGTGCTTAATGCATCTATTGGCGGTGCTTTATGCATCTATTGGCGGTGCTTAATGCATCTACTCGATATACCCGGGGGAGTGCATGACTTGGCAATTTAAAGGCAAAAAGTTATGTAATCTGGCTAACCATGTGTGTGTGTGTGTGTAGGAATGCGTGTAATGGTATGTGTGTGGGATGAGTACTGAATTGTGCATGGTTACATGTATGGTATACCATGAGCAATGTGAATACTGAAATTGGTTATCTCGGGAAACTAAGAGATTAAGCATAGGGTTTGACTTCACCAGATATTATATTTGCATTGATACTGTTGATAGGTTAGCTTTTACTCATTGAGGTGACATCTCATCCCCGTCAAAAAATTTCCCAGATTAGAAGTTTTGGACTAGAAGTCAAGAAAACTCGGCAAGGCTCAGCTCGACATCAATGAGGTGGGATGGTGGACTCAGACTCCGACATGACTTGTTTATAGCATTTTGAGAGAAGATGGTCTTCTCTACTGTCATGTGTTTAGAAGTTTTAAATGTTTATGTAAATTATGGTTTGGTTTGTAATCTAAACAAAATTGTGAAAGGTTTTAATCGGTACGATCATGTGAAATGTTTTAAAGTATGCATGGGTGTTACAGTATATGCTATCTGGATACTAGTTTGTGATGTTTTGAATATTAGTATGTGCTATCTAGATACTTTAATAAAATCAGCAGACTTGGATACTAGTTCATACATTTTGGATATTAGTTAGTATATACTAACAACTTATGCGGTTAGCAGAATAACTAGACTGCACATAGTCATACAAAGGGGGGAAAGTTAATCTGCTAACTTGAAAATTCGTTAGCAGATACTAACTGATATCCACAATACATGAACTAGTATCCAAGTACTAAAGTATCTAGAGAGCACATATTAGTATTCAAAGTTTTCTAACTGATATCCATCATGAATCAACTATTATCCTAAATTCACAAACTAATATCTTGACAACACAGAATAGTATCCATACAACACATAATTAGTATCCAGATAACAAATAAGAGTATCCAGATAACACATAAGAGTATCCATATTGAATACTAGTTGGTTGATTGTGGATATTAGTTGGTATCTACTATCTGGATACTAGTTTATGATGTTTTGAATACTAGTCTGTGCTATCTAGATACTCAGCAGACTTGGATATTAGCTCATACATTTTGGATAATAGTTAGTATATACTAACGAATTTTCAAGTTAGCAGAATAACTAGGCTGATACAAAGGCATGCACTTACCCCCAATCATTGAGATTAGGTAGATTTAGCTCGCTTTTGCAGGTGATGTTGTGGTTGCATGAAAACCACTTATGATAAAGATGATTTGCTCGACCGGTGGTATTTGTATCCGAAAATAAATTGAGTCGAGGAAATCGAATTCCGAGCTCAAACGAGGAAAAAACGAGGTTCAGAAGTTTGTACTTACAATTGTGCGATTTTAAGTTCCAGAACTGTCTCTGGCAGCTCGAACATAAAGAGTGCCATTGTGTAACTTTTCATACCCGGGTCGTAGTTTTTTCTTTTGACATCAAACAATGAACCGTTTGCATCTACAGGACCGTGGGAATGAGGAGGATTTTTATGCACCAATTACTGGAATTTCATAATTTAATTTGAGAATTGGAATTCGGCAAAATAGAGGTTTGTGAGGGTAATTAGGGGGACCTTAATTATTGCATCAATTATTTATGATTAATTTTTATATTTTGATGGATGGAATACTGTGGTGATGACTTGTCAGGTTCAAAGATTTGGTGATTGATTTTCATTGTTATCGATTTTATGGTACATATATAGGTAGTCGACAAGTACCACCGAGAAAATGGATAGTTGAGTTTATTGAGTTTAAAACTGACCAGACGGCTGTTTTAGAAGATTGTGTGGTGGATTTTGGTTGTTGAAAAATGATTTTGAATTGATGTCAAATGAGATATGTAAATGAAGGAATGACTGAATGAGTAAGTTATATACTAATGATTAATGAGAATATGAGATATGA